AATATATATAATATATATTTTACATTTACCCAAAGAGAGAAGCAGATGATCGGACAAAGTGAGCTTATTAAATATATAATGAAATATTATATATTATAGATTGTAACATCAAGTTACACCAGGGTTTCTCCCTTTTGTTGAAGATGAGGGGTGCTATGTACCGCGTGTACGAATACTCGCCAACATTAATCTAGTAAGAGACAGATTTTATAATGAAAGATACTGAAACATTTATTGTCGTGATATGTCTTTGTAGCAAAGAAAATATATCTATATACACACATAACATATGTATATACGACCATGTATATATGTATGTTACGAGTCAGTATATATTTATATATGTATATTTTATATCGAGCATCTATTTACGTGTCACGTGTTTTAGAGGGTCGTTTAAAAGAAAAACAAAGAGCATGAATGCTGCATTAACTAAACAAACCAATCATTGTACTATGTGGTATGTACTTTTGTGAAATTATTTGTAACATTTACCGTACACTGTACTGTACGCACAGCTGCTGTAGCGGCGTCACCTTATACATCGAGAAAGGAAATCATGAACGTGTACTATTATTTTATTCTCCTGTAAGTTGAATAAATGTTTCACAGCATTGCTTTTCCAATAATTTTTTTCAGTCAAATTGGGTATAGTATTAATATAGGATATAATAAAAACATAAAACGGCATGTCATGGTTGATAACATTTATATAACGTTTTGAAATATCGTTTCAGAATTATCTATATAATAACTTAAAAATATGTTGGTTTTAAATGAATTGATATGCTAGGTACAATTATATTATAAACTCTGCCATTTTCCTTTTTCACCCCTAACTTTACCCTCTCTCAGTAATTTATTTAGATGGTGATGTACATTGTAAGCTGCTGCTTCCCACATGATTTGTGAGGTATCCTAGAAATACAAAAATTTTTATAATACATTCTACATGTCAATATGAATTATAAAGGAAAGTAACTATTAATACCGTGTATATATGTTTAACAATGTCCATTTCGGATAATGTACTGCTCTCTGAATTTCTCTCTAAAATTTTTAAAATTTCAGCTTCTCTTTTTTGTCTATGCTGAATATAAAACTTAATATTGGACTCAGGATCTGATATTACTGGTCCATGACCAGGATAAATTAACTGAGGTTTCAGTGCCAACATTTTTTTCAATGATTCCATGTAACTATATAAATCCTCAAAAATTGCAGTTCTTTCTCCAAGGATACAATCTCCACTGAACAGTATCCCTTCATTCTCTAGTACAAGGGAAGCATGATCTGTGGTATGTCCTGGAGTATGTTGAATAGAAAGCTTAGCACCTTCTACTTCCACTATTTGTTTGTCCTTCAATGGTTGCCAGTTAGTCAATTTTTCCTCTTCACCTAGTTTGTTATCGTCTGGTGATCTAGGTAATTTCCATACTGTACTAGTATTAGCAGGATTCATTGTTTTTAACATGTTCTGAACAGCATTGGCTCCACCTATATGGTCTATGTGCCAGTGAGTTATTACTAAATGTTCAATTGTAGCATTTTCTTCTTTTAGTACTTTAGACAGTACTTTTGTATATTCATCTGCAGTTTTTGGTTCTCCAGTATCAACTAGTATACGCCTAGAAAAAAAAGGTAATAAGTTGTAGCATCCATACATCTAAGATTTGTAAAATTATAAATTCTATGACAATTACCTGGTTCCTGTGCCTACAAGATATGTATTGGTACCTTGCAACGTCATAGGTCCTGGATTACAACCTAAGATGCGTATCACTGTACTTGACAATCTTGATATGGCAGGCAAATCAGTCAGAGGCTTCATATTTACGATCCGTTCGGAACTAAATACTAGTGAAGACTGTAATGGAACTTTGTACGAGGTATATCTACGCTCGTACGCACTATTTAACTAAACTGATAACACCACACCATGCGATGATTTTTAACTAATGCGTGTACGATAAGACTATGCCTTCCACTAAACCTTAACTGATGTTAACTTATCATCTCTTAGTTTAGTCATTGTGAGTAATGCGATCTTATGGTTAACGAATCAATGATACAGCGACGTCAATCGAAGTGTAGCTATAGACACGTATTTAGAAACAACGACACATCACGAGGCTATGCGAAAGTTTTCTATTTTTGTTATTGCAAATTGAGAAGTACTTAGCACATAGATACATATAATTAACATATGAATTGCTTCCATGAGTCCTCGTTAGTCCTCGTATAAATTGACGTATCTAGTAAAACTAATAGACGACATAAGTCATGTATTTAATACAAATATTTAAGATATCAGTGAATCTAATCTGCGTTGCGTTATGTTTGACTAATTTTAAGATTTATAGATAGTATCAAATACAGATTTAGCTTATAATGGTTATTAATATCACAGATATTGCGATACTACGCTGCAGTAATTTCTTTATCAAGATTTTATGAGTACATATCGAGTGTCAACGATGCAACCGTATCCAGAGATTCGTGCATTAGGCGTGACACTAAATGGTTACGGGGTTCTAGAGACCCCAATACTCGGGACACAAAAACACGTTGGATGGAAAATCTATCCTTATGCAATACACTGTAATACACCTTGCAACGCCTTGTCCCAGGTCCCAGGTTGTCTGTGATTTGATTCAGTTTGATATTGAATTTGATTGAATTTGATCAGTTTGACGAATGCAGGGCTATTTGTACAATGTTTAGCACAGTGTTACTTGTACGATTTAAAAAGTACGTTACTAATAAAATACGAACGAATGTTTATACATTATACATAAACAGCTAATCGATCATGAAACGAGTAAAACTTAAATTAAAAAGGCCGAATCCATTGTTTGAAGTTTGGTTAGAAGAATGGCGGGAAGAGGCTGCTTCCAGAAATTCCAATTTGCAATATAATTTTTCGGAAGCACTAACTTCATTGAAAAAGTATCCTTTACCATTGAAGTCTGGAAAAGATTGTATAATATTACAACATTTTGGTACAAAATTATGCTTGATGTTAGATCGAAAACTTGAAAAGTATAAAGCTGAAAATGGAAATTTGGTAGGAACAACCGATTCTATTTGCCTGCGTTGTAACCATACTCAAGAGCATGTTTCTAAAAGAAAACAAAAATCACAACACATTGCAATAAATTTGGATCGCGTGCATGAAAGGGTAAGGGTATATAGAATAATTAATATGAGACAGTTATATAAAAATACTCATTTTTAATATTAAAAAAGTGAAAGTTGAAGTACATTGTACACATTTTTTTTTCGATCAAGACAGAACCGGCAGTATTCGATAAATTAGATTTATCAAAATGGAACTTGGAAAATTATGCTGTTTTATTAATTTTGTATAAAAAAGCTCAAGATCCTTGTTTTCCAGGTATTGTAAAAATAATATTATAAGTTTTTTGTAACATAGTGTTGTTACTGTGAAATTTATGCGATTCTTATTATTTTATCAGGACTTATCACTGAAGTGGAACTGCTACTCGAAATAAAAAATTTGTGCGGTCATGCTTCAAAAGATTCAGTTTCAAATTTATTTGATAATGGTTTAGTTTCTATGATAGGTGCACCAGTAAGGTAGTACATAAATGTATGTTACATTGCTGCAATGTTCGTCATTAATAATATTATTGCAATCTGTCTAGGTATAGTCTCACAGAACAAGGTATAAATATTGCAAAGATAATATGTGAAATTACTACAATGGATGCAAAACAAATAAACTCTTCTGATAATCTAAATGAAATTCAGTTATGTTTAAAGTCAAGATTTGGGCAGAAATTAGTATTGTATACAGATATAACAAGTTTAAATAACAAATATATAAACCCACAATCACCTAAAGAATGTCATAAGAGTACTTATGATAACTTAAATAAATCATCACATAACATTCAGAAATCTCAGTCCTTAGAACTTATTAACAATGGAAAGACTACACAACATTCCAATCAGTATCCTGTAAAACAGAAAATAAATGGTAAAAATGTTGTGGAAAAACCTAAAACAACAAAGAATGCTAAGAAAGATGCATCAAATAAAGAAAGTGGCATATCTCATCTTACTGATCATGCAACAAAACAGATTTATATAGAATCAAACAAATTTGATATAATATTACTAGTAGATACACAAGAAACTTGTGGGTATGCTTTGTTTTATTAACTTCTTGCAAAAATACATTGCAGATATTTAAAAAAGTTTGATTTTAGTGGGAAAACAAAACCTCAGCATGATGCTACAATTGTGGAGTTATCACAACTTGGTGTATTATTTGAAGTACGTCATTTAAAAGTTGGTGACTTTGCATGGATTGCCAGGTGTAGAGATACAAAGGCTGAATTGATTCTACCATACATAATAGAACGAAAGAGAATAGACGATTTAAGTGCAAGTATCACAGATGGAAGATTTCATGAACAAAAGGTGTAAAATATTTGTGTTTTCAATTAACTGTATTCACTTGCCTCTATTTAATTACAAAGAAAATTATTTTATAGTTTCGGTTGAAACAATCTGGAATTGAAAATCTTATGTATATAATTGAGGAATATGATAAAGAACAAAGATTAACAATACCGCATTCATCATTGATGCAAGCTTCCATTAATATATTAATACAAGATGGATTTTCAATAAAATATACCAAAACTCATAAACATTCTATGTTCTATTTATCATCACTAACAAGAATTTTCAATGATGTTTTTAAAGTAGGTACTCTTACATCAGAACAATTACTGTTTAAATAAATTGTAGCGTTTCCTTCAGAAATGTTATTCTCATTTTAGGAAAAAAGTTTAATAGGATGTAAAAAAGAATTTCTTACACAAACGAATAAATCATCTAATACTGTGAATCTTATGGAATTTGAAGAATTTAATAAGGCGGCGTCGAAGCAAAAGGTATACAATAAATTATATTACATTATGAAATGTAATTATTCTTGTCATAAACTAATGGTTTCCGTTTTTAGGTTTTCAAAGTAAATCAAATGTTTATTCGTCAACTATTACAATTGAAGGGGTTATCTGTAGATAAAGCTTTTGCAATTGTGGAACGCTATCCCACTCCACGAATATTGGTCGATGCTTTCCAGCAATCTGATTGCAGTGGAGAGTTATTGTTATCGAACATTGAATTCGGGAATAAAAATCGTCTTCTTGGACCTACCATCAGTAAAACACTTTATCAATTGTACACGAAAAAAATTCTAAATTAATAAAACATTCCGTGTAAATGTAGAGAAAAAATTACTGCAATAACGAACAGTATTTTGGCCATTAAATACCTTCTTCTAATATCTTTATTTAACCATGAAATGTTTCTCATATTTATTGAGACTTGTCCAGATTCTTGCCATACATACTTCTAATTTCTCATTACTAGCGTTTATGATACCAATTTCAATCATTATTTCTGTAGTATAATAGTTTTAAACTATTAATTTTAAGTAATATCATTAAAAATTATTGTGTCCATTTCAAACAGTGATATTATATCAATTTGTAAATAGAAGACATTATTAATGTTGTAAAGTGACGAATGAGATTCAAAATTTAAATATTTTTGCAGAAAAGGTATTGGATTTCATTACTTCACGTGGGTTTTACTTATGACGATGTTTAATAATTAATTGGAAAGTGTCTGATAGGGATCAGCCTTATACCACTGCGAGTCTACATGGCGTAATAAGAGGGTGACATGTGAAAATAATAGCCACTGTGTGCCGTAATTTTTGACGTAAAATCACCCTGTTTTCCCTTTAATCACGTATTGAAGAACCCTTTCTCAAATATCGACTGATTAATATGCCAACCACAATTATACTTTATATTCTGAAATTTTAAAGGTATTCACTTATTCACCGCGTGACGATAAAAATTCATTATGTAAGTTCAAATTTATCTGTTTTAATCAAAAGTAAAATTAATGTTTTTGTAACAGATTTAATATTTTTAAGAAATTGGATATTTAATACTGTTGAATCTCTTCCCGAAGAAATTATTTGTCTTAATATAAAATGTTGTACAGTGGATGAAACGGTCGTGTTCTAATTTTGAATGCATAATAATAGTTCAGGTAGCGTAAAAAAGAAGTTGTCACCAGTGATACAAGTATATCGTGTTGACTCACCTGAACCGTGCCGAAAGCATGGGGGTGAAGAAAATTTCGAGGCTTGCCTTGCACGTCAACCTTTCAGATATCTGAATTTAATATTACACAGTTTTATGATACGTACGAAGTAAGTGAATAAAGTACTGCCTTTCTTCGTTGTTGCAATTTTCATTTCCTTTATTTCATATTTACTTTATTCTAAACAGAATTGTTCTACTGGAGCGATGTTAACGCCATGAAGTACGACATCGAATTTTGAATAACCTTGAAGTGAAAGGAACTTATTACTTGTGACCGCATGACTATTCGCTGCTTTATTCCTTACTTACCATACTGAAGCTTTGCATAGAAAATATGAAAATTTTTCCGGCCGTTACGTATGACGGTATACTGGATCTTCTTGATATCAACATTAACATTTTCTGCGTTTCTGTCGGTATGTTATACCATTGGCCGTTGTACCTATACGAAAAATATACAGTACATTTGTTATAATCGTTTAAAAAGATTTAAAGGGCAACTTTATGTTACAAATCATATATAGCCATATTCTACACGTCGAAGGTAACAAGAAAATCGCGGATGAACAGTTATTGTTTAAATATTTTCAGTGTATAAATATAAATAACATAAATTAAAAATAATCCAAAATGCTTCTGCCCGTCTGTTAATAAAGCAGAATATCAAAGCGTGTACGGCACCAGATTTGGGCAAAATGTAATCTTATTACCAAATCTAAGGAAATAATTCTTTAAAGTAAATTGTTTCAAAACTCTTATTTATTAGATCTTTGTTTTTCAGTTTCGACGCGCAGTATAAACTTGTGAATTCTGTACAATACTTTTAACATTATTGCTCTACATGGTTGAATTTTCAAAAAAGATAATAGAGACGAAGGAGGGCTGTACGGACAACTTCTTTGAATTTATATAACAATACAGTTAATCTTTATTCAGAATGAAGCGATGTCAATAGTGTCGAAAATAAGATTGCTAAGCTTCTACTTACGCGTTCTGTGAAATTGCAAGAGAATGGTCTATCAATCGTTCGCTTTGGTAGCAGATGTAAAGAAGATGGATCAACTGGCCCATAATGTATATTGAGTGCCTAAACGTTTCAAACGTACCGAACACCGCATTCAACTACAATAAAAACTGTACTTGAAAACAGAAGAGGGACCGAACTCATATGACAATATTAACTCGTGGTCCGTGGCCGATATTTTAAAAAACGAAACCAAAATAGAAAGTGTGTACTATTTTGCAATTAAATATTTCTTATATTCTTATTACACAAAAATTAAATATAATACCGCAAAGGGTTAAGCAATAATTTCTCTGATTATCGCTTACTTTCACTAAGCTGATGCTTAAGAAGATCATATTTAAACCCAATTGCAGAAGCTGCGGTAGCATGAATGCCGAATCCAGACGATTGACAAAACTTTGGGGAAAAAAAGGTCGATTTCATCTTGATTGCTGGCACGACACCTCCATACGTGTAGCAATATTTAATACTAACTGTAATGTCTTACGATGTGTACGAACAGAATCCTCGATAATAGATTTATACGCTCTTCTCTGGTGCTCGATTGGTTCTCCATCTTTGGTACACTTGTAAAGTTCATATTCCAACTGGTTTCTGAAAGTGTTACGTACGAATGTAGTAAAGCTATTGTAAATATACAAATCAGTTTATTAACCATCGTGCACCGTTCGGGTCAATTTGCCCCGAAGTCAATGTTTAATTATTAATTAGATTTATTTTAATAGAAATTTATAAAGTAATTTGACACCAATGGTTTACATATATTATACTCTACCGATTGGCAAATATATTTTTTTAATTCAGGTCCAATTTACATTAAGCAATGGGAATGTAATAGTTCATCGAATAGTGCGCGAGGGTTGAAAAAAACATTTTTCTAATCTAATTTTCATTACTAAATCATGAATATGTAGATTTCAAGATTTCTTAGGAAAAAAATGAAGTTTACATTTCGCTACACGTAGATTAAATATAATTACGACGTAAAATTTTTCGATACGACCACACATGTCATACAATATGTTGCGTCTTCTCTGATTTATAGGATCTACATTTTCATCAAAATAATTTAAGTCATTCTTTCGGGCGTGAGCAAAATCATTCGTGTTTTCGTATGTTAATTTTATTATTAATAAAATTTTCGATGTTCTTACCCAATAAAGGCGAGTAGACCGCAAATATATTGGGCATACATGATTAACATAGTGTCGAAACCGATAAAAGTAATGATATCTAACAAAATATAGCCACTAAGAAACACCGATATCAAGTAGTAGTATTTATGCTCGTCCAGTGCGAAATACGCTGGATAAATGAATTTGTACGGTCGAGTTTCGTTGCGTGGCGAAATGATATCAAGCAATCGTGTTTCAAATACGAACCCACAGTATACAGCCGTTGCTGTGTACAGAAAATCTGCGGGAATAGACACAATAATGTTGAATCGATTGTTATTCGCACGGTACACGAAAATAATGATTTTCGATAGTTTCCGATCGCAGAGTTCAATGCAAAAAATGATGATGGTAGCCATAATTTTAAACATTTAATATTTTTTTTCCGTAAAAATTGCATTTCTTTCTTATTAAATATAGCAAGTTATTTCTAGAATAAAATTGACACGTTGATTGTTCGAATTAAACTTTTCGGCCACTTAAAAAATAATCTCTGTAAATAGCATCTGTAGTTGTTTCACCAAATAGATCTGACGTTTCGTTATTGACTTTGGTAACAATGGTCAACGATGGTCTCCTCGATAGCCAAAATATTAATCGGAAATAGTAATTATATGAAAGAAAGATTACACATGTATCCTTTTGCGTATTGCTTCCCTTGGCTCCAGTATCTCTCCATGATCTCTAACTCTTTCTCACTTGTTCGTTCCTTATAATCGCTATTTATTTGACTCTGAAGGTACTCCAGCTGCACGGTTCAATCGATTAGTTCGGTTATCATAAGCGTCAAAATTTCCAGCCAGATGTATGTACAAGCCGTTACATATAGAGACATGTAAAATTTTGTAATTTCTTTCTATTTTAATTCGTACTTTAAGAAAAATGATAGTTTATAAAATAATTCTCTTAATTTCAGTAAAACGTAGGAAAAATCGTTACTGATAGTGTAGGCTTTTCGTTTCCTTAGCGTTACACTTTAAATGTAGGTAGGTCGTAGTAGGTTTGAAATACAGAATTAAAAAACTTGCATAATCTTCATATATAACGGCAACCTATTACACAACATATGCAACTGTCGTTTTCCCTACATAAGACCAGCGACAATAATTTAAGATAACAAACTAACGTGGTTATACACAGTGGGATAGCTTCGAACATGTCTAGTTCTCGAAAAGATCGCACGTACTTCCAGACCTGCAAAATTATTCGTGTACATATCTATGCGGAAGTTAATGTATAGTGCAAAAATCGTTTACAAAATCGTTGTCCAAGTAGACAATCAATCTTTCGCCAAATATATTCTGTAAATAAATTCTACCGTCATATGTCACTTGCTTCTCGAATTGGAAATAAAAGTACCAAACCAACAACGCCAAAATGAAATGAAAAAAATAAACAAGTCTATAAGAGAATAAGTTTAGTTGTATAGAGAATAATTTTCTAGACGAATTCTCACTTTTTATAGAACACGCCGCGTAATATTATGTAATTCGATCAATTATTACGATTGTTACCGTTGTGATAACCTCGATAATTATTATGAACACTATAAAAATGATGCGTCTTCCACGGTCCATGGGATCCTGGTTGGGCCACTGGCCCAAAAACTTCAGGTGCCACCTGGTAATCTGGCAATAGTGAGTATTAGTGAACTCCATGACATGTACGAAGGTAGAACAAATTTCCGTATTCTACCTACAGATGTCTATGTAATCACGTTTAGCAATCGACTGACGGTGTAATTTCGTATCTTCTTGTTCTTCTTCTTGCTTCGATTATTAATGCACGCTTTGATTAATATTTCAGGGTATTCATTACATCGTAACTTTTGAATTACGATTCTACGTAAGAAACGACAGGTGGATAAGAAAATGAGAGGCCTCTGGAATATATGCTGCTCTTTTAATCAAACGTTCAAGAATATCTTTAATATTTT